CAAAGTATTCCATAGCCAAGTATTTAGAGCATCACAGAGTTGAGAAACACCTATTCAAATTCTTTCTCCGCTGCAAGTAGGAGTGAATTGAACCTTGGTCTCAAACACCCCTGGCAAGCAATGGTCCCTCAAATTTTTTCCATCCATTTGCAGAATAAATTTTCTTATGTGCACCAAAGCATGTGCACCACCAGAAGAAACAATGCTGCTAGCTGTGGACATTCTGCTAATCAGCTGGATGGCATTTGAACCTCTCCTGGGTGGCTGCCCAAATCTCAGTTTATAGGGGACACTATCAGCAGGTGTTCTAACTATAGGGCTAAAAGTTAAAAGGTGGGCACCAAAGGTGGCATCACTAGCCACCTAACTCCACTGGGTTCATGGCTTACTGTGAGGCTTAGGTGGGCAGTAGGAATCCAGATACCTAGAGGGAGAGACAGGCTTAAATTCAGAAACATAGGCACTAAAGGGTAATTTTACTCCAAAAATTTAGGCACTCAGTGTGTTTAGGCACATATAGGATTCAGCAAAAGTGTAGTGGATTGCAGTGGAGCCTAAAACTTGGACTTCGGTATCTCAGTCTGGGGTTTAGCTGTCTAATCCTCTTAGTATTCTTGTGGCTTTTCTCTTACCCCTCTCTGATTTATCAACAATTTTTCTAAGCCTTCCAGTCCACCCTCTTATCTTAAAACTCCTTTTCTCTATGCTTCTGGATTCTACTGAAACCTGTGACATAGGGTGTGGTACCATGCCGTAGTTCCTCTGATGGATACATTATGATTAGCATGAAAGCCAAAAGAATGAATTATGGCAGTGTCACTCATTATAATGTGTTGACAGGATTTAAGTTTAAGGAAAGAAACTCTACATTTTCAGAATTGATAAAAAGTGGATTGAGCTCTATGTGCAAGATTTGGAGGGCTAGTTTTAAGACATAAACAATCATACAAGGGACAGTCTCTTCTTGTTCCATTTCCCCTTTATTTGGCACTGGTGAGGCCACATCTGGAGTATTGCATCCAAATCTGGGCTGCCCATTACAGAAAGGATGTGGATGCATTGGAAGAAGTCCAGCTGAGGACAATGAAAATGATGAGGGGGCTGGAACACATGACTTACGAGGAGAGGCTGAGGGATTTGGGCCTGTTTAGTCTGCATAAAAGAAGACTGAGGGGGGATTTGTTAGCAGCCTTTAACTACCTGAAGGAAGGGACCAAAGAAGATGGAGAGAGGCTGTTCTCAGTAGTTATGGGTGGCAGAATGAGACGCAATGGTCTCAAGTTGCAGTGGGGAAGGTCTAGGTTGGATATTAGAAATAACTATTTCACCAGAAGGGTGGTGAAGCACTGGAATGGGTTATCTAGGGAGGTGACAGAATCTTTTTAAGTCTCAGCTAGACAAAGCCCTGGCTGGGATGATTTAGTTGTGTTGGTCCTGCTTCGGGAAGGGGGTTGGATTCAATGACCTCCTGAAGCTCTTCCAACCCTAGGATTCTATGATTCTATAAAAAGAAAAAAAAACACACAATTCTGCACAAGGTTAAAGATTTATTTTTAATCACAGACTGAAACATAATGATTACAAAACTAATGGTTAGATTTAAAATCACCCCATACACATTTCTGTGGGAATATTTCCCTGCGACTCCCTAGCAGACTATGGGTTCAAGTGAAAAGCAGTACTGTTCACATTTGCCTTTGGGACTGAACGGTGAACTCCAGGATGATGGTTCATGCTGCAAGGAATCAGGTAAGGATGCTTGCTGGACACATTTCATTCACCCAACTGGATGTGGCTACTTTTAGGGACTTCTGCTACCTATATCAGAAATCCTAGTCATCTTGCAGCTTTCTGTCCAGAGCCGTCGCTGCAGCTCCTCGTCATATGATGCATCAGTAGATTTTGTCCTTTGCTCATTGTAGAGATAGATGCCACCAACTCCTTCTAGCTCTGGTGAGACAGCTGCATAGATGGATGTGGAGGCTCCTTCTTCTGGAGTCTGCAGCCAGTAGAAAACAAAGCTAAATGAGCCAGGTGTATATACATAAAGAACATGGTTCATCACAAGAAACTATCAATATCAAGCAGCTTCCTTGATCTGTATCCAGTTTTGTGACTTTATTCATGCTCTGATGAGAAAGGCCATGCATCCAGCCAGAAAAAACTCCCAGAGAAATTAGGTGCAGATATTTTGATAGAAATCAATTACCTGGCTCCTTAACATTTTGGCTTATCTCTAAAATAATCATTCAATAACATTTTTAAAATGCTATCAAATTTGTCATAAAGTTTTTGAGAAATGCTATTCAATCAGCTTTAGGCTACACTGTGTAGGATCACTGTACTATTCATTACTTGCAGAAGCAAAATTGTGAAAGATTAAAATAATTATGATATATGAGGCCATGATCATACTCTATATCATTAATAAATGCAAACCATTCAAAATAAACCTGTACTTCAGTGCATGTTTAAAAAACAAGAAAACCTGCATAATTTCAATGGTGGATGTGTATGCTGTCTCTGGAAAGTGTCTTGGATTCCCTCAGATTGAAAGGGGTTAATTTGATTTAAACATTTGTTTCATGCTAAACGTTACAAAACTTTTACCATTTTATTTTCTGACAGCAGATAACTCTGTTAATTATGTTCTTTGCAAAATATAATATTGTGGCTTACCTCACCTGATTGGATTAAACACCAGAATTTTCATTTGCTGCCATGGTTGTCATGGTCTTTTGCCGTGGTTGTCATGGTCTTTTGCTTGTGCCACTTTAGTAAAAAAAGTGTGCTGGAAAAAATGGGTTTGGACTCTGAATATCTCAAAGTATTCCATGTCCATGTGAGAGTTTTGTGGTTTAAAAGTATTGCTATATAGTATCAGGTATCAGAGGGGTAACCATGTTAGTCTGGATCTGCAAAAGCAACAAGGAGTCCTGTGGCACCTTATAGACTAACAGATGTATTGCAGCATAAGCTTTCAAGGACAAAGACCTACTTTGTTGCTATATAATATGTTAGTACAATGTTTTACAGGCAGTCCCCGACTTACGCGGATCTGACTTATGTCGGATCCGCACTTACGAACGGGGCTTTTCTCGCCCCGGAGCTCACGGGCGGCGGGTCGCCACCCGTGTCCTCCGGGGCGAGAAAAGCTTCTCCTAGTCACCCTGGTCTGCTGGGGGGGTCCAGCAAAACCGCTGGACCCCCCCAGCAGACCAGGGTGACTAGGAGAAGCTTTTCTCGCCCCGGAGGACACGGGTGGCGACCCGCCGCCCGTGAGCTCCGGGGCGAGAAAAGCCCCGTTCGTAAGTGCGGATCCGACATAAGTCAGATCCGCGTAAGTCGGGGACTGCCTGTAAAACATTGTACTAACATATTATATAGCAACAAAGTAGGTCTTTGTCCTTGAAAGCTTATGCTGCAATACATCTGTTAGTCTATAAGGTGCCACAGGACTCCTTGTTGCTTTTGCAGATCCAGACTAACATGGTTACCCCTCTGATACCTGATACTATATAGCAATACTTTTAAACCACAAAACTCTCACATGGACATGGAATACTTTGAGATATTCAGAGTCCAAACCCATTTTTTCCAGCACACTTTTTTTACTAAAGTGGCACAAGCAAAAGACCATGACAACCACGGCAAAAGACCATGACAACCATGGCAGCAAATGAAAATTCTGGTGTTTAATCCAATCAGGTGAGGTAAGCCACAATATTATATTTTGCAAAGAACATAATTAACAGAGTTATCTGCTGTCAGAAAATAAAATGGTAAAAGTTTTGTAACGTTTAGCATGAAACAAATGTTTAAATCAAATTAACCCCTTTCAATCTGAGGGAATCCAAGACACTTTCCAGAGACAGCATACACATCCACCATTGAAATTATGCAGGTTTTCTTGTTTTTTAAACATGCACTGAAGTACAGGTTTATTTTGAATGGTTTGCATTTATTAATGATATAGAGTATGATCATGGCCTCATATATCATAATTATTTTAATCTTTCACAATTTTGCTTCTGCAAGTAATGAATAGTACAGTGATCCTACACAGTGTAGCCTAAAGCTGATTGAATAGCATTTCTCAAAAACTTTATGACAAATTTGATAGCATTTTAAAAATGTTATTGAATGATTATTTTAGAGATAAGCCAAAATGTTAAGGAGCCAGGTAATTGATTTCTATCAAAATATCTGCACCTAATTTCTCTGGGAGTTTTTTTGTGTGTGATTTTTGTCAATAAATAGAAACTTTAAAAAATATATATATTCATTCCACAGCGTTCCCACTGGAGCACAGACTCTGCAGTAATGTTATCTACTTGCAGTGGCAATACTCATAAAGACTTAATAGCACCCATTATACTGTTTGGTTCATTGGACATAAATTGGGAGCTGAGGCCTCACTTCCCCAATAGAAGTGTCAGAGCCATGCTGACTAACGTAGCAAATGGAGACTCATGTGACAGAGTTTGGTAAGGTTGGCTGCTGGCTGACTGTCATACTGCACAGCTCCCTAATGCGGATCTGGCAGCAGCAGAAAGGCACCTGTGGAAAAGCACTATCTTGGGAAGGAGGTTGGAAAAAGGCCTTAAAAGCTGATAGCTGCCACTAGGACTGAAGCTAACCCTTGCAGAAAAAACTGTGTGACTTAAGAGCTGTGCAGGACAGGCTGTGCAACCTCTAAGTATATTCTAGGCAACTTTCCTCATAATGTGAATACAGTGAACAGTACAGTGTAATTGGAACAAAGCTCAGCACCACAAGCATTCACCTACCTGAAGAAGAAATTTTATAGTGTTAGAATCTTAGACTGTTGAGGTATCTACATATGTCTTACTATGAATACTCTGCTCAATTTTTCCACTTCAAGCCTGATTCAAAATACACCAAAGGCAACAAGAAAACTCCCATTTACACCAATTGACTTTGAATCAGGCCATTTGAGGCCTCACAGTTATTTCCTAGTCCAAAAATTGTCTAGTGAAATATTATGGTAATCCTATAACTCAGGGCCTATTTATAGGGTAATATATTACTCAACAGGAGTAAACAAATCTGGCAAGTAATGGTAAATGCTGGTTTTTCAATTAAAACCACTTGAGACTGGGAAGGCAATGGGAACAGTAACAGAAAATAAGGCCCTGATACAGCCAAGATTAATATGCATTAAGGATGTAAAATTTCGATTATTTGGCTAATGGAATAGTCGATGCAATTTGCATCGACTATTAAATTAGTTGATATGGATGCTTCCACCTTTGAAGTGTAGCAGCAGCCATTGCTATGCTTTAAAGGTGAAAGCGCTGTGGAGAGCACGGGGCCAGCAGGGGACTCAAGCAGTCGCCCTTTGGCCCTGTGCTCCCCATGGTGTTTCAAAGCGGTAGCGCTGCAGGGAGCCCAGGGTCAGTGGGCAACTCCCCCACTGACCCTGGTTTCCACACGGCACTGCTGCTTTGACAATGCTGCACACAGCCTGTGCCAGCTGGGGACTCGCAGCTGGCCCCAGGCTGCACACAACCTTTCAAAACGGCAGCTCTGTGTGGAGCCCGGGGTCTGACCCCAGGCTCCACGCGGCGCTGCCACTTTGAAGCACCCTCTGTTTTCCCCCTCACCTTGCTGCCTGTTTCTGATAGAGGAAGCCAACGCAGGGGGGGAAGCAACTAGTCGTTCACATCCCTAATGTGCATGCTAGACTTTATGTACTAACACTGCTTTAAATTAAGCATGCAGAATAAGAGCTTAACTCTTAGCCAGGATGCCTTGTAAAAGAGGCTCATGTTTCACTTACATTTTCTAGCCTTGAATAAATAATAAATCATCATCCGTAATAGCAACAAATTAAATTTCTTAATCGCAGAAGGACAGCAATTAATTGTAATCATGAATATTTTATGGATATATTTCATCCATCAGAAGGAAAGCATTGAGTCTTAAGGTACTGTCTGTGTTTTAATTATAAATCAAGTGATATACTAAGCCTATAACTCAAGTGATGGTTCACTGGACATCATGTTACTAAATTCAACAGCTCTCTGGGACACACAAGTGTAAAGGAAAAATGTCAGTGACTCATAATTCCCAGCAGTGATAGCTCATGACTAAAATAATTTGTATTATCTTTTTAAATAACCAAAAACAAAGTGCTGCATGGGAGTTCTACAACGTAGGCCTAATCGTGAGAGGTGCTGGCTTCAGGATCTATATGTGCATCTACCTGGCACTTGGGCAGACTTCCATTAACTTCCACAGGGCTCTGAACTGACTCAGAAGTCTGTCTGCATGAATCTTTAGAAGGTGTTATCTCTAGGACTGCCAGGTGGTTTCAACAAAAATACTGGACATACTTGACATTACATCACAATCTACATTGCATCTTATTTAGAAAATACCGGACATTTATATCTTCTCATTTATATTTTCTCAATTTGTTTCCCAAACAGAAAGCTCAAATACTGGACTGTCCGGTTCAAAACCAGACACCTAGCAACCCTAGTTATCTGTTAGTGGTCAAGCTAAGCCTCCCCACCAGGCCTTGTTCTGCAGGACCTGCTTTACATCTTTTCCAAGGTAGCTACAGTGATCTTTAAGTGGCCCAGAGCTTTCTTCCAGCCCCAAAAGTGATCTTTTCAGAAAATTATGACTGATTGAAAACACTCATTTGAAATTTTGAACAGAAAATATCATGTAATCATATTTACATGTACAGTATTAGTAAATAGCTGGGGACTCATAACAATGACAACTTCTGTAATCAATACAAAATGTCAGACCCACAAATAGAAAGGACAAAAACCTGTGATACAGCTTTCAAGACAAGAGATGTCCCACTTGATTTAGAAGGCCTTATTCTACCCTTCTCTCCTATGCATCCCTTTCTTCTGCCTTCCATTTTATCTTGTCTAATCCATTACTCCTCTATTTCTACCCCTTTCTTTGCTCTCCCTGAATAGAGACCAAGAGAGATCTGAAGGTGCTTCACAAACT